TTTCTTGGCTTTGTCCCGGACGCGCCTGGTTGGCAGTTTTACCACGTCACCTCGCGCCGGGTTCTGCCCTCTCAGGACGTCACTTTTGACGAGTCCGTCCCCTTCTACCGCCTCTTCCCCTACCGCACTGCCCCGCTCCCCCCTCCGCCTCTCTTCCTCGCGCCAGGTGCTGCTATCGCAGACCCCCTCCCCCCTCAGGGTGCCGCTCCCTCAGGTGTGTCCCAGGTAGACCCGGTTGAGCCTGTCGAGGTAGCTGTCGACTCTCGTCCTGCTAGGGGTGCTGAGCCTGCGCGTGAGGAGCCTGGCGGTGCTGAGCCTGGGGGTGCGGAGCCTGGAGGTGCGGAGCCTGGAGGTGCGGAGCCTGGGGGTGCTGAGCCTGGGGGTGCTGAGTCTAGGGGTGCTGAGTCTGGGGGTGCTGGTTCTGGGGGTGCTGAGTCTGGGGGTGCTGAGTCTGGGGGTGCTGAGTCTGGGGGTGCTGCGTCTGGAGGTGCTGAGCCTGAGCGTGCTACACCTGGAGGAGCCCTCTCCTCCCAGCAGCTGCAGGAGAGGTACCTACAGTACTGCCGCCTCCGGAGAGGTGCTGCTGGAGCTGGTACCAGTACTTCCCCTCCTACCCGGGAGCTCCCCTCCCTTCAGCAGATCCGAGAGTGGTACACGCGGCGCTGCAGTCTTCGGAGTGGAGCTCCTGGTGCTGCGGAGCCTGGAGGTGGAGCTGCTGCTGGTGCTGAGGACTCGGGCGGTGGAGCTGCTGCTGGTGCTGAGGACCCGAGCGGTGGAGCTGCTGCTGGTGCTGAGGACCCGGGCGGTGGAGCTGCTGCTGGTGCTGAGGACCCGGACGGTGGAGCTGCTGCTGGTGCTGAGGACCCGAGCGGTGGAGCTGCTGCTGGTGCTGAGGACCCGGGCGGTGGAGCTGCTGCTGGTGCTGAGGACCCGGGCGGTGGAGCTGCTGCTGGTGCTGAGGACCCGAGCGGTGGAGCTGCTGCTGGTGCTGAGGACCCGAGCGGTGGAGCTACTGCTGGTACTGAGGACCCTGGCGCTGGTGTCTCTGCTGGCTCTGGAGACGCTGCGCGGCCGCGACCGTACTTCGTGCCGCTCCTTCAGCAGGTTCTTGGTCAGGCTCCTCCTCCTTGTCCTCCTCCCTCCGTAGAGTGTCCTCCGCCTGTCCAGTCGCAGTCACAGTTACCGCCTGCCTCGCCTCTTCCTGGTCCTTCTCCTTACACAGGTCCGACAGGAGGTCTTACGGAGTGTCGTGAGCCTGAGTCTCGTCCTGCGTCGCCTGTTCGTACTGCTCGCACTGGTCGTCGTGTCCCACGTGAGCGTCCTCCTCCTGTCCCTGGCACTCACTACATGACTCTGCGTCCCTCCACTGCTCCTCAGCGTGTCCCTCTGCCGTCTCCTCCTGCGTCCTCTCTTCCTACTCTTCTTGACCCGGAGTCTGACTCCCGTCGTGCTGCCAGTCCCACTGTCACGCGTCTCCTAGCTACTGTTGTCACTGACCCTACCTTTGAGTCCTCTGCTGCGTCTGCTCTGGTCACTGAGTTGGTTGACTTTGCTGCCCGGTGTCGTCTAGACTACGCTGCTAGCCTTGTTGCTGAGTCTGAGTCAGTCTGTCCTCCGTCCGTCGGGGGTGAGTGTGCTCTTGGCACGGACGTCCTTGAGGACAGACAGGAGGAGTTCCAGTGCTTTGCTGCTGCTTTGCCCCATCTCGTGTCCATGCTAGTTGCCCCTGAGGGAGACCCGGATGCACCAGACATCCCGACCCCGCGCTCTTACGCTGAGGCGATGGCGGGTCCCTACTCCTCTCAGTGGCAGACAGCCATGGACGCAGAGATGGCTTCCTGGAAATCCACAGGCACCTACGTCGACGAGGTTCCCCCACCTGGGGCGAACATCGTCAGTGGCATGTGGATTTTCAGGGTGAAGTGGCCGCCGGGTTCTCCTCCTGTCTTCAAGGCGCGTTACGTTGCTCAAGGCTTCAGTCAGCGAGAGGGAGTAGACTTCTTCCAGACCTTCTCCCCCACCCCGAAGATGACCACTCTTCGGGTTCTGCTGCACATAGCTGCTCAGCGCGACTACGAGCTTCACTCTCTTGACTTCAGCACTGCTTTCTTACAGGGCAGCCTGCACGAGGAGATCTGGCTGCACCGCCCTCCTGGCTTCACTGGGTCGTTTCCTTCTGGTACCCAGTGGAGGCTCCAGCGGCCGGTCTACGGTCTCCGCCAGGCGCCACGCGAGTGGCACGACACACTGAGGACGACACTTGCGGCTCTTGGGTTCGCTCCCTCCACTGCTGACCCGTCGCTGTTTCTACGCACCGACGCCTCGCTGCCGCCGTTCTACATCCTCGTGTACGTCGACGACCTGGTCTTTGCCACTGCTGACACTGCGGCACTTGCCCACGTGAAGTCGGAACTGCAGAAGAGACACACGTGCACAGACCTGGGTGAACTGACAAGCTATCTTGGCTTGCGGATCACCCGGGACAGAGCACGGCGCACCATCACCTTGACTCAGTCACACATGGTGCAGCAGATTCTTCAGCGCTTCCGCTTCACGTACTCCTCGCCTCAGTCCACTCCCCTGCCTACCGGTCACTCGCTCTCAGCTCTGCCTTCGGATGAGTCCGTAGAGCCGAGTGGCCCGTATCCAGAGCTTGTGGGCTGCCTCATGTGTCAAACATTATATGTTTATATGATTGTAGGCTGTAGTGGGTTACACCTTAGGGGGTACACTAGATTAGGGTTTACTACTTGTATCCAACTTTGTGCTAGTACAGTCATTCCTGTCCGTTCATTCTGACATGGTTTCAGAGCAGGTCCTTCGCTAGGACCGTTTTTTTTTAAGGGCCCACCGTTACCTACCTACCTAGGGCGCCTCGAACTTTTTTTTACGGCCCCTACCTCCCGCGACCCGCGACCCGCCCCTTAAGGCCCCGTCGCGCCGCCCCTTAGCCGCTCGCGCGCGGCCCTTTTTTTTCCCGCGCGCGCCTTATTTCCCTCGCGCGCGGCCCGTCGCCTGCTCGCGCGCGCCCCGCAGCCGCCCGTCGCCTGCTCGCGCGCGCCCCGCAGCCGCCCGTCGCCTGCTCGCGCACGCCCCGCAGCCGCCCGTCGCCTGCTAGCGCACGCCCCGCAGCCGCTCGTAGCCTGCTCGCGCACGCCCCGCAGCCGCCCGTCGCCTGCTCGCGCACGTCCCGCAGGCCCGCAGCCCGCTGTCGCAGCGGCCGCCCGCCCGCAGCCGCCCGTCGCCTGCTCGCGCACGCCCCGCAGCCGCCCGTCGCCTGCTCGTGCACGCCCCGCAGCCGCCCGTCGCCTGCTAGCGCACGCCCCGCTGCCCGCAGCCGCTCGTACGCCGCTGCTTCCGCTGCTGCTTGCGCACTGCTGCCTCCCGAGCGCCGCCGCTGCCTGTGCGCCGCCGCTGCCCGTGCGCTCCCGCTGCCCGTGCACCGCCGTTCCCAGTGCGCCGCTGCCGCCTGTGCGCTTCTGCAGCCGCCGCCCGCGAGGCACTCGCTCTCACTGTTGTTTACCTTCTACCTACCGCGCGCACTGCTGCCACTGCAGCAGCCACCAGTGCACCGTTGCAGCTCCTGCTGCCACGCTACCTACTACTGCCGCTCGTGTGCCACTACGGACAGTCGACCCCGCCCGCGCCTTGCCTAGCGGCCCCGCCGGCCCCGTTGACCCTCCGCACACCTTTCCAGCGGCCTGATTCCTACTACTACTGTTACTACTGCTACTGTCACTATGGCTAGTCCGCCAGTTCTAGCTTTCGATGCCGAGGGCCGTCCAGTGAAGTTCGAAACCTGGCTAGATGACCTGCACCTGTTCCTACAGCTCACTGCCAAGGAAGATATCTCACTGTACGACCACGCCCTAGGCCATGCCACTGCCCCTGACTCGACTGCTGACAGCACTCTGCGTTCCCAGTGGCAGACCCGTGATGCGCACGCTCGCTTTGCTATTCGCAACTCCCTGCCGCTAGACGAGCGCGAGCACTTCGGCCAGTGCAAGACTGCTAAGGACCTCTACACCGCTGTAGTTGCCCGCTACTCCTCGCCAGCTTCTGCCACGCTAGGCCGCCTCACTCTCCCCTACCTGTTCCCCGACCTAGCCTCCTTTCACACTGTCGCAGACCTCATCACCCACCTTAAGACTAGTGAGGCTCGCTTTCGCGCTGCTATGCCTGCCGAGTTTCTCACTAGCAACCCCCCCCCGCTCTGGATCACTCTCTACCACATCGTCACCCGCCTTCCTGACTCTCTGCGCGCAGTCAGGGACCACTTCCTCTCTCGCTCCCCCACTGAGCTCACTGTTGCCCTCCTCGAGAAGGAACTGCTTGCAGCTGAGGCGAGCATCGTCGCTGTAGGCACCTCTCGTGGCGACCCCCGCACCCCGTTCTTTGAGGGGTGTTCCCCTTCCCCCCTCCTCCCCTCTGTCGCCTCTGCTGCTGCTGTCGACCTTCTTGGTGCTGAGAAGGTCGGGACCGCGTCTGCTTCGAGTGGGCGCCGCAGGAACAAGGGGGGCAGGGGTGGGGGTGGCGGCGGAGGAGGTGGGGGTGGAGGCGGTGGGAGTGGAGGCGCGGCTGGGGAGACTAGTGGCGGCAGTGGGGGAGGAGACAGCAGCGGTGGGAGTGGTGGTGGAGGCGGCAGCGGAGGCGGAGGTGGTCGTGGCGGCGGCAGGGGTGGAGGTGGCCGGGGTGGCGGCGGTGGGGGTGGTGGTCGTGGAGGCACTAGCGGAGGGCAGAGTCAGCAGCCCGCCCCGACGCTTCAGGCCGCCCGTGAGTGGTATGCGCAGCGTAGCTTTACCTGCACGTACGTCATTCGCACAGGTGACCGCAGCGGCCAGCAGTGTGGGAGGCCGCACCCCACGCAGCGTTGCTTCGCGCGCCTTAACGACGCGTGGCGCACTCAGTTTCCTGCTGCCACTGAGCTGCCGCGCTGGGCTGATCTGGAAAAGAGGGGTGTTGATATTTGGGCTTTAGACTTTGATGCTATTCTCACTGCCATGTATGCGATGTCTATTAGTGGAGAGGGTGCTCAGTACTTGCGTGTTCCGCCCGACCCGGGCATTCAGGCCAGTCCGGCTGCCGCTCTAGGTGCTAGTGCGTCTCCTCCCACAGGTCCTGGTGAGGCTGCAGCCCTAGGTGCTCGTGCGTCCGTGCCCCCTGGTACTGAGTCGACTGCAGCACTGCACACCTTCACCCTGGACTCAGGTGCTTCTCGCTCTTTCTTCCGTGACCGCACTGTCCTTGAGCCACTCGCTCGGCCAGTTGCTGTCTCCCTTGCTGACCCCTCTGGGGGTCCGGTCATTGCGACCTCCTCCACTGTCCTTCCTTGTCCGGCGGTCCCGTCCGGCACGCTGTCAGGTCTCTACCTCCCCTCGTTCTCTACGAACTTGGTGGCAGGTAGTGCGCTCCAGGACGGGGGTGTTCACCAGTTCACCCCTGCCTACGAGCGCGTGACACACTGCACGTGTGCTCGGACGGGTCGCCACCTGGCTACCTTCACTCGGGAGCCGGGGTCGGACCTTTACACACTGACCACTGACTCCCCTCAGGTAGCTGCGTCCGCGTCTGCGTCTGCGTCAGGTCAGCTGTCCGCCCCCTGCTCGTGTCGCTCTCTGGCGCATGAGACTGTCCTTTGGCACCACCGCCTTGGTCACCCGTCTGTGCAGCGCCTTCGGGCCATGCACAAACGGGACCTTGTTGCTGGGCTTCCCAGGGTGCTCCCTCCCCTTCCAGCCTCACCTGCTCCTCCCTGTCTTCCCTGTGTCGAGGGGCGGCAGCGCGCCGCTCCTCACTCCTCCTCCTTTCCCCCGACGACTGCTCCTTTGCAGACGCTCCACATGGACGTGTGGGGCCCAGCCCGCGTCCGTGGCCAGGGTCAGGAGAGGTACTTCCTGATTGTTGTTGACGACTTCTCGCGCTACACCACGGTCTTCCCCTTGCGCACCAAGGGTGACGTCCCTGATGTCTTGATCCCTTGGATCCGCAGATCTCGTCTCCAGCTCAGTGAGCGTTTCCACTCCGACTTCCCTGTCCTGCGTCTGCACTCTGACAGAGGTGGAGAGTTTTCCTCTGGCCTCTTGGAGGCCTTCTGTCAGCAGGAGGGCATTGAGCAGTCGTTCACGCTTCCGGCCTCTCCACAGCAGAATGGGGTTGCTGAGCGCCGCATTGGCTTGGTCATGGAGGTCGCTCGTACCTCCTTGGTTCATGCAGCTGCCCCCCACTTTCTGTGGCCGTTTGCAGTCCGATACGCTGCGCATCAGCTCAACCTCTGGCCCCGTGTCTCCTTGCCCGAGACTTCTCCGACACTGCGTTGGACGGGAGAGGCTGGCGATGCATCGCGTTTTCGGGTCTGGGGATCCCGAGCTTTTGTCCGCGACACGTCCGCGGACAAGCTCTCCCGTCGCGCTGTCCCCTGCGTCTTCCTTGGCTTTGTCCCGGACGCCCCTGGTTGGCAGTTCTACCACCCCACCTCGCGGCGTGTCCTGGCCTCTCAGGACGTCACTTTTGACGAGTCCGTCCCCTACTACCGCCTCTTCCCCTACCGCACTGCCCCGCTCCCCCCCCCCCCCGCCGCTCTTCCTCGCTCCAGGTGCTGAGGTACCAGACCCCCTCCCCCCTCAGGGTGCCGCTCCCTCAGGTGTGTCCCAGGTAGACCCGGGTGAGCCTGTCGAGGTAGCTGTTGACTCTCGTCCTGCTCGGGGTACTGAGCCTGGGGGTGCTGCGTCTGGGGGTGCTGAGCCTGGGGGTGCTGGGTCTAGGGGTGCTGAGCCTGGGAGTGCTGAGTCTGGGGGTGCGGAGCCTGGGGGTGCTGAGCCAGGAGGTGCGGAGCCTGGAGGTGCGGAGCCTGGAGGTGCTGAGCCTGGGGGTGCTGGGTCTGGGGGTGCTGCGTCTGGGGGTGCTGAGCCTGAGCGTGCTACACCTGGAGGAGCCCTCTCCTCCCAGCAGCTGCAGGAGAGGTACCTCGAGTACTGCCGCCTCCGGAGAGGTGCTGCTGGAGCTCGTCCCGGTACTTCCCCTCCTACCCAGGAGCTCCCCCCCATTCAGCAGATCCGCGAGTGGTACACACGGCGCTGCAGTCTTCGGAGTGGTGCTCCTGGTGCTGCGGACCCTGGGGGTGACGCTGCTGCTGGTGCTGAGGACCCGGACGTGGGAGCTGCTGCTGGTACTGCGGACCCGCCTGGTGGAGCTACTGCTGGTGCTGAGGACTCTGACGTTGGAGCTGCTGCTGGAGCTGAGGACCCGGGCGGTGGCGCTGCTGCTGGTGCTGAGGACCCGGACGGTGGAGCTGCTGCTGGTACTGAGGACTCGGACGGTGGAGCTGCTGCTGGAGCTGAGGACCCGGGCGGTGGCGCTGCTGCTGCTGCTGAGGACCCGGGCGTTGGAGCTACTCCTGGTACTGAGGACCCGGCCGGTGGAGCTGCTGCTGGTGCTGTGGACCCGGCCGCTGGAGTCTCCTCTGCTTCTGGAGACGCTGCGCGGCCGCGACCGTACTTCGTACCGCTCCTTCAGCAGGTTCTTGGGCAGGCTCCTCCTCCTTGTCCTCCTCCCTCTGTAGAGTGTCCTCTGCCTGTCCAGCCGCAGTCACAGTTACCGCCTACCTCGCCTCTTCCTGCTCCCTCTCCTTACACTGGTCCCACAGGAGGTCTTACAGAGCGTCGTGAGCCTGAGTCTCATCCTGCGTCGCCTGTTCGTCCTGCTCGCACTGGTAGTCGTGTCCGTCGTGAGCGTCCTCCTCCTGTCCCAGGCACTCACTACATGACTCTGCGTCCCTCTACTGCTCCTCAGCGTGTCCCTCTACCGTCTCCTCCTGCGTCTTCTTTGCCTCACGTTCCGGACCCTGAGTCTGACCGGTACCGTGCTGAGCACCCTACTGTCACGCGTCTCCTTGCTACTGTTGTCACTGACCCTACCTTTGAGTCCTCGACTGCGTCTGCTCTGGTCGCTGAGTTGGTTGACTTTGCTGCTGCCTGTCGTCTAGACTACGCTGCTAGCCTTGTTGCGGAGCCTGAGTCTGAGTCTGTCTGTCCTCCGTCCGTCGGGGGTGAGTGTGCTCTTGGCACGGACGTCCTTGAGGACAGACAGGAGGAGTTCCAGTGTCTTGCTGCTGCTTTGCCCCGTCTCGTGTCCTTGCTAGTTGCCCCTGAGGGAGACCCGGATGCACCAGACATCCCGACCCCGCGCACTTACGCTGAGGCGATGGCGGGTCCCTACTCCTCTCAGTGGCAGACAGCCATGGACGCCGAGATGGCCTCCTGGAAGTCCACACGCACCTACGTCGACGAGGTTCCCCCTCCTGGGGCGAACATCGTCAGTGGCATGTGGATTTTCAGGGTGAAGCGGCCGCCGGGTTCTCCGCCTGTCTTCAAGGCGCGTTACGTGGCTCGAGGCTTCAGTCAGCGAGAGGGAGTTGATTTCTTCCAGACCTTCTCCCCCACCCCGAAGATGACTACTCTTCGGGTGCTACTGCACATAGCCGCTCACCGTGACTACGAGCTTCACTCACTTGACTTCAGCACTGCTTTCTTGCAGGGCAGCCTGCACGAGGAGATCTGGCTGCGCCGCCCACCTGGCTTCACTGGGTCGTTTCCTCCTGGTACCCAGTGGAGGCTTCAGCGGCCGGTCTACGGTCTCCGCCAGGCTCCGCGTGAGTGGCACGACACACTGAGGACTACACTTGCGGCTCTTGGGTTCGCGCCTTCGACTGCTGACCCGTCGCTGTTCCTGCGCACCGACACTTCACTGCCGCCGTTCTACATCCTCGTGTACGTCGACGACTTGGTCTTTGCCACTGCTGACACTGCAGGACTCGCCTACGTGAAGTCGGAGCTGCAGAGGAGACACACGTGCACAGACCTGGGTGAGCTGACAAGCTATCTTGGCTTGCGGATCACCCGGGACAGAGCACGGCGCACCATCACCCTGACTCAGTCACACATGGTGCAGCAGGTTCTCCAGCGCTTCGGCTTCACGTACTCCTCGCCTCAGTCCACTCCTCTGCCTACCGGTCACTCGCTCTCAGCTCTGCCTTCGGATGAGTCCGTAGAGCCGAGTGGCCCGTATCCAGAGCTTGTGGGCTGCCTCATGTACCTGATGACCTGCACTCGACCTGACCTTGCATACCCTCTTAGCATCCTTGCACGCTATGTCGCTCCTGGCCGTCACAGGAAGGAGCACATGGATGCTGCTAAGAGGGTGTTGCGCTACTTGTGCAGTACGTCGGGCATGGGGCTTGTGCTTGGAGGGCGAGACCAAGTTGTTCTCACAGGGCACTCAGACGCTTCTTGGGCAGACGACCAGGCCACTCAGCGGTCGTCTCAGGGTTACACCTTCAGCCTTGGCTCTGGCTCAGTTTCTTGGCGCTCTACACGCTCTTCTTCTGTTCTCGGCTCTAGTTGCGAGGCTGAGATCTACGCTACAGCCATGGCTGCCCAGGAGCTACGCTGGCTGACCTACCTGCTGACCGACCTCGGAGAGCCGCCTCGTTCTCCTCCAGTACTGTACGTCGACAACAAGGCTGCCATTGCCTTGTGTGAGGAGCACAGACTGGAGCACAGAACGAAGCACATCGCCCTGCGGTACTTCCTTGCTCGTGAGCTGCAGCAGCGCGGTCAGCTTTGTATTCGCTACGTGGCCACTGAGGCCAACACTGCTGATGTGTTCACCAAGGCGCTTCAGCCTCGTGACCATCAGCGCTTCTGCACTCTACTAGGCCTTGTGCCTACTGGACCTCACTTACTTACCTCTTGACTTTGCTTGTACTGTGATCACTATATATATCTATACCTGCATGTTTACTCTTGCTAGGTTGTGATCACTGTATCTCTTGCTCTGTTATAAACCTGCATGTGAACTGGTCTTGTGACCACTAGCTTGTGCTCGGAATTTGTGTGGAATCCTTGAGATCCACCCTGAGCTTGCCTTGCTTTGCTTTGACTGGTCTTGTGACCCTGTGGTTGTCTCCCACTGCGCCTATGGGGGTGTGTCAAACATTGTATGTTTATATGATTGTAGGCTGTAGTGGGTTACACCTTAGGGGGTACACTAGATTAGGGTTTACTACTTGTATCCAACTTTGTGCTAGTACAGTCATTCCTGTCCGTTCATTCTGACATCATGTACCTGATGACCTGCACTCGACCTGACCTTGCATACCCTCTTAGCATCCTTGCACACTATGTCGCTCCTGGCCGTCACAGGAAGGAGCACATGGAGGGTGTTGCGCTACTTGTGCAGTACGTCGGGCATGGGGCTAGTGCTTGGAGGGCGAGACCGAGTTGTACTTACTGGACACTCAGACGCTTCTTGGGCGGACGACCAGGCTACTCAGCGGTCGTCTCAGGGCTACACCTTCAGCCTTGGCTCTAGCTCAGTTTCTTGGCGTTCTACACGCTCTTCTTCTGTTCTCAGCTCCAGTTGTGAGGCTGAGATCTACGCCACAGCCATGGCGGCCCAGGAGCTACGCTGGCTGACCTACCTGCTGACCGACTTGGGAGAGCGGCCTCGTTCTCCTCCAATGCTGTACGTCGACAACAAGGCTGCCATTGCCTTGTGTGAGGAGCACAGAACGAAGCACATCGCCCTGCGGTACTTCCTTGCTCGAGAGCTGCAGCAGCGCGGTCAGCTTCGTCTGCGTTACGTGGCCACTGAGGCCAACACTGCTGATGTGTTCACCAAGGCGCTTCAGCCTTGTGACCATCAGCGTTTCTGTACTCTTTTAGGCCTTGTGCCTGCTGGACCTCACTTGCTTACTGCTTGACTCTGTTTGTACTGTGATCTCTATATATATTCCTGCATGCTTACACTTGCTAGGTTGTAAACATTGTACTACCTGCTCTGTTATAAAACTGCATGTGAACTGGCCTTGTGGCCACCTGCTTGTGCTCAGATTGTGTGGTGTCCTTGAGATCCACCCTGGGCTTTGTCTTATTTGCTCTTCTGCTTGACTGGTCTTGTGACCACTGTTAGGTTTGGCTATCCCCCCTACTTCACCTATGGGGGTGTGTCAAATTATATGTTTCATATTATATATCTCTAGGTTGTGTAGGGGTGATTCCTTAGAGGGTACAACAAACTTCTCGATAGTCTTGTACCCCCTCCCCTTACCTAATCCATCATTCATTCCTCTCTAATCTTAACAAAGGGTCCGCTGGATCTGGTCCGCGACTAGAATTTATATGCCTGGTCCGGGGTTCTGGTCCGACTGACCCACTTTGGCGGACCAGCGTTGGACCAGACATGGACTGGTCTGCCTGATGCGTCGCGTCTTGGGCTGCACAGTATTTGTGAGTTGCATTAGTGGCGACGAAATTGAAATCGAGTTACCTTTTCATTTCGTCCAAGCAAACATCTCGCGGGAGACGTACGAAACAAGAAATTTCGCAAAAAAAAAAAAAAAAAAAAAAAAAAAAAAAAAAAAAACGTTGACCACACACTATTTACGGACCAGGCGCGGACCGGTCTGGAGGACAAAAAAAGGCATCGTTTTAGTGTCATTCGAACAGTATAACGGGGTTACACGCCCCGCATTCTGATCCAGGTCCGCCCCTAGTTCAAGCTCTGATTCTTGAGCTGGTCCGCGAGGTCCGAGCCGGACCACGTAGACTCGGACATCTGAGACACCCTCTTAGTCGCTTAGTTTCGCCAACTTTGAGAAGGTGTCTCATTTGTCTGGTCCGCTCCGACCTGGTCCGTTACTAAAAATTTGCACACCTGGTCCGAATTTCTGGTCCGACGGACCCACCTCGCGGACCAGGCGTAGACCAGACACGGACTGGTCTGCATGATAAGTTTTTTTGCGACAAACAGTAAGCACGCAAAGCAGACATGCTGAAATCGAGTTACCATCTTTTGTGCCAGGCATGATTCTACGTCCAGTCGAACACGAAAAGCATATGTGGCGAGAAATTTTGCAAATAAACGTAGGAATTGCTACAGTTACGGACCAGGCACGGGCTGGTCTGCCGACTAGGTCAACGGCACCGTTGTAGTGCCATCTATAACGGTGGTAAAAACTCCCGCATCGTTCCAGTCAGTCGCTGGTTCACGCGCTGGTTCTCGAGCTGGTCCGTCGGGTTCGCTTCGGACCCACGTGGACTCGTGTAGTTGAGACGCGTCATGGGTTGTAAGGGGCATACAACCAGCATATAAGGCGTGTCTGATATTCCACTCTGCTTCGAAGAAAAAAAATCGTCGGACCGCGCGGCGTGGGAGGCGATCGATGTTTGCGTAAGATGGGGGCAATCACACCCAATCGATCCCGAACTGATCCAACCGACCACCGATTGCGAGAGATCGAGGCGATCTGCATCACGTCCTAACACCCTGCATTTAGGTTCCGGGCCGTTAAAGCCCTTTGACACCAATAGCAGGGCTAACCGTGAAAAAAAGCCCTAAATCGAAACAGGCGCGAAAATTCTGCGGGCGTTGGTATTAGGGCGTGTCTCTTTTTTTATTTTATCGATTTTGACGGACTGTCCGCTTGTACGTAAACGGACATTACAATAGCGAGAATCGGACTGTCCGATTCAAAAATTTGAAACATTGGACAGTCCGTAGGCAAAAGCATCACTTTTCTGAGTGCATCAGATTTTCGAAGTACTGTAGCATCGCCAGGCATCATACACTAAACTCTGTCACACCCCATCGCCAACATCGCATAGCCTGGTCGCGGCTCGATGCCCCTCGAAAGCCAACCGTCTGCCTTTTACATAATTCACATCACATTGGGAGACTCAAAAACAGAGCAATACACACAGAGCACTATCAAACCAGGAAAATTGCACTGCCATGTCTAGGAGGCTGCTCCTATCGGTGCTTCACCTGCTTTACAGAGGCTACCAAGACTTCATCGTCCGTCCAGCCTTTGACCAGCTGATGGATGTTATTCTACTGCTCGAGGACGATGACCGCAACACCATGCGCCGTGACCGTGAAAATCAGCGGGCACGATGGGATGCCCTCCTCGACTCCTTGCCTCGCCGCATATTCATTGAAACGTTCAGAGTTAATCGGGCCGTGTTTGACTACCTAGTAGAGGCGTGGCTAACGCGGAACGGTGACCGTAGACGAGTAGTGCTTATAGAGACGGTGGTGGCTATGACTCTGGTGTATCTTGGCACGGGTGCCACCTTCCATCAAGTGGGCTTGCAATTTGGTGTTGTCCCTCAACATGCCTTCCGCCTCATCTACGGGTTCATTGCATTCATTGTCAACGTGTTGGAGCCTCTGTGGGTTACACACCCCACCCTTAAGCAATGTGCAAAAATGGCAGCAGAGTTCACATACGAGGGAGGAATCCCAGGAATCATTGGAGCATTGGACGGGACTTTTATTGAATGCCGGGGGTTCGGACGCGACAAAGAAGACTTTAAAAAACAGAAAGGGTTTCTACTCTAACCACCTACATATAGCATGTGATAGCAACGGCATTATCTGGGACTACAACATCGGCTACCCCGGGAGTGTGAATGACGCTTGGGTGTTCAACAACTCACCCCTCCGGGAGTGCTTGGAAGCCGGAGACTTAGGCAACTACATGCTGGTCAGCGACGCCGCGTACGCCCTGAAAAGCTACACATGCGTCCCTTGGCGTGCTCCTCCGGGAAGGGCTCTGCCAAGGGCGAAGGACAAATGGAACACACAACAGTCAAGGCAACGGATGGTGGTTGAACAAGTGAACGGGAGGTTGAAGGGGAAATGGAGGATTTTAGATGCACGGATGGAGTGTCATAGTGACCGCATCCCCCAGGTCGTGAGCGCGTGCGTCGCGATGCCCAACATAGAGCTCACGATCGGTAGCCGCGATCGTCTTGGCCCGCCGAACGAGCGGGATCGTTGGTGGCTCGCGGGTCCCGCCTCAAGGCTTCGACTTACCAGCGCCGAGGTCCGCGGGTTCACGCCTCGTCTTCGGATGAAGAGGTGGACTGCGGCGATCTACGCCTCCTACTGCGTCGCTCATCCGCGAAGCCGCGAAGCACCTCCCGGGTAAGCGCCTCGAACTTGCCCCAATTCTCCTCTTGACGCTTGTCGTTGTGGTCGCGAAGCTCGCGAACAAGATCCACGGTGCTTTGGGCTCTGGATCGGCCAGCAGATTTCTGACCGAGCCCCTTTGATCCGGTCTTACCCCCCTTGCCGTCCTTGCCTTCGGGCTGCTGGCGAGGATACTGATACCATGCATGCCGGCTGCATCCCTCTTGCCCATCAGACGACGCGAGCGCTCCCCCGACTTGGCGACGACCACGGATCGAGACACCCGTCGTCGCACCTGATTCCGTCGCGGCGGCAGTAGGAGACGCGGAGGGGATGGTGTCTGGCGAAAGAGGGGACACATTCCCGCGGCAGGTTGTGGTGTCTCCAGGAGGGGAAGGCGCGGGTGACGCGCGCGGGAGGATTGGGCGTCGGAGATGTTGGTGCGACCACACAGTCGGCGGGGTCTCAGTAGCGGTCGGGGGGTTAGAGGGTATGGGATATGGGAGTGGAGCAGCCGGCGGTGGGAGCGCGATGCTGGGAGGCGGACTGTCCACGTTCGCGACGGCGGATGTTGTACGCGACGTGGGCGTCGCATTCGTCGTAGCTGGCGTTAGTGGGAGCTGGCGTTGCCGTCGCAGACCTTGAACCTGTGGATCGATTGACGCCCGTGCCTGCAAGTACCGGGGGGGATGGTACTCGGGCGCTCACCCCATAAAGCGTCGCCGAGGTGGTACCAAGCAGGCAGACCAGTGGCGCGGCCGGCCCCCAAGCGCTTGATG